CGATCGCGAAAATGACGATCTGTGCTTTTTTCCAGAAAAGCGCGTCTACATTGGCCATGGACGCTTTTCTGGAAAAAGTGCTTGTCCGGAAAAGCATCCTGCCAATGTAGACGCGCTTTTTCCGGAAATACTTATAACAGAAAGCTGCTCCGTTTTAAGCATTTCCGGAAAAGGGTGCCAGTGTAGACGTAGCCGAAGGGAACAGACTAAGCTGGGTGCTGGGGGCTGAGGGGGCGATGGACCCCTACCCCAAAGGGTCTGAGCAATACCCCCCCTGTTCTACTGGCTGGCGGAATCTGTTCTGGCTGCTACTGGGGTGCAGGATCAGGGGGATCCCCGACGCGCCGTCACACCCCCAAACTTCCGTTCAGGGTTTCTCCGTCGCCGGGGCCCGTTTGGAGCGCGACAGGGACAGTGTTCTGCCTCGGCGGGGTCCTGTCTCCGGCGGAGAGCTGTGGGCGGGGTTGGGGTTTCCCGATCCCGGGTCAGAAATCCTCTGCCACTGCAGACTACGGGGGAGGGGTGTGAAGGCCCCGCGGGAGCCGAAAGTGAAACCTCAGTCCCTCAGCAAATATTCCCGGGAAGCCTCATTTCAATGCACTTTCCTCTCCAAATATTGACCGTCATGCAAATGTCCCGGCCCCACGAGGAGCCTCCACGTTCCCACCTGTCGGGTCCCCGTTTGCAAACCCTGTTCTAAGGCTTCTCCGGCGCCTCTTGGCTCCAGCGCCAGTGTGGGGAGCCAGGGCGGGCCGGGGAGCGCGCGGCTCTTCCTGGAGATTAAATGTCAGTTCCCGTGTCAATGCAGAGCCCTGCAGGGCAGGTGAGGCCCCACCCGGGCAGCCAGCAAACAGTGTCTGAAGTTATTGTGAGAACACGCCGGCCTGTGTGTCACGTTACCGGAGTTTAAGGGGAGCAGCCAGATCACTGCTGCACCCATGGGGGGTGTTTGCCCCCAAAGTGGGTACAAAGGGGGCCATGTGAGGTGTCAAACAAAAGCTCACCTTCCACTGAGTCTGAATATTCTCTTCATGTGATTGTATAATGTCTGTGTGTGGTGGAGCGATGGGCTCAGCCTATGGACATGCTAATTAGCAAGGCTCCAGGGACAAACGAGGGAGATGTGTGTGACGCCGGGGTCTGTCCGGCGGTTCCGTTACAGGTTCCGTGACCAGCCGCCCCCAGCCGGGAGGTGTTTGCAGGGACAGTCGCGCAGGCCCGGGAGCTCAGCGGAGCTACTTGCGATGGGATCTGCAGGTTGCAGCTCCCTGCTCCCGCCCCCTGGGGACCGACTGGTCCGGAACGAGGGAATTTGCCGGGTCACTTCCGGCCCCTGCCCAGCTCCGCTCCTGGTCCCGGCTGCCCCCTCCCGCCGCGCACCCCC